GCTTATTAAATGCACATTTTTTAATGCAGGGCAGATGTTTAAGGCAGATGGAGTTCCCGGTAAAAGGTCGTTAGCAGAAAAAATTGAATAACTTCAAAATTAAGTAATATTTTGAAATAAAAATGCACTATATGATTTTAATTATTAACGACTTTCATGAGCCCAAATTTCAGCCTGATGTGATTTTTCATTTAGAAATGGGAGCACAAAACATTTCAACTTGATTATCTTCAAAAGTGCTTTTTGCGTGCCTGGGCTGCTAAGGTCCTTTTCCTTGGCACACGACGATGTGACTGTGAGGACTTAAATTGTACTCATACAGAGTGCATAGCGCCCCCAGTGTTCTGTTTAACAGCCTTGCATTTAAATGCAGTCCAATTAGCCTACCAGTATGGCAAACACAACAGGAGGGCACTATGTAGTTTGAGTAAATGCTAAAGAATTTACCCATATCAACCAGCGTCCTTCTATGTGTCTGCCATATCTTTAATAGGCTAATCATTGTGCATGTATGTTTATGAGCCCTATTGCCTATGTAGTCACTTAAATCATGGAGAAATAAAACACAAATTCACTTATGGGCTATACTTGCTGCACATGTGCAGTGTGAGACATCCACTAGTCTTCGCATGTTGGCCACATTGTACCAACATACGCTGGTGAGCACATGAAAGTGGCATAAATGTCAAAAATTGTCTACTATAATATGAGTTTTCCCAATGTTTATACCCCACCGATATACTCAAAAAAAGTTTCCAACAAAACTCACCATATATTCAACCGGGCCATATTTTTTCAAAAGGAATACTCGCTGCATTTTTTTTTGCCATGAAAATTGGCCGTGAATCATATTGCATGAGGCCAAAACAAACAAAAAAGGCTCCAGTTTCTGGTCTGCGCACGTGTCGCCGTAGCCATGCGTGTCGGCAAAATAAAAAAGTTTTTTTTCAATGTAAGATGATGTCTCAAAACTGCCAAACTCACTGGTTTGACTGGAATCCTGCTGCTGCACAATTTTAACAATTTTTTTTAGATGGGGTTACGGCCGAGTATAAGCTTTATGTGGCCTCTCTGGGCTCCCATACTGTACGTTTTGCACTAAATTTAATCGGGCACTATTTGCAGTCATCAGCCGACATTTGACGAAAAAACGAGTTAAAAAAAGAAATCTGCGTCGTCGCACAACTTTTGGTGCAAGCTCCATACCATAAACCGAAGACTTTTTTTTTGCCTAATAAGGAGCAAATCAATAATTATGAATAGAAAAAAAATGTTAATATGTAAAGTAGCTCCCTATTAATCACATGGAAGGGAACATTGACTTTGCTGGCTTCAATTCCATAGGTCTCACTTATGCCTAAAAACTCAGATTTTTAACATTTTAAGAAAAACAAATAAATATCGTAATCAAAAACTACGTAATTTGATTACGGAGCATCAATAAACCTATTGAAACAAAAATTAGAGTAAGAAAAGACTGATTATGTCATGACCCGTTTAAGCCTTATAAGGAACAAAGGCTGATGGTGTCGAGTGAGATACCTGGGCACAAATAGACATACTAAGTGACAGGCACAAACGTGATGCGAAATGGAAGGGGAAGCTGGTCTGAGGTTAAGAAATCTGTTTGCTGCCCTCTATTGATGTATTTAAGTTGTAAAGAAAAAAGGCTACACATGTAAAGTGTACAAGCATACATAGATATAGACCTTCGGAATGGACTTTGCATTGTTTTTGTTTGTGTTGGTTTATCCATAGTACATCTGTGTTAAACATTTTTAGAGCCTACATAATTTCTTTGATATTAAAGGAACACTGTGTCCTGAAATCCCTGGAAATTTCATGTTTTGGATTGTTTACTTATCTTATTTCCAACATCTACCCCGGTAGTTGAAAGGAAACAAACCTTATGTCTTACCGTTACAGAAAAAACTAGACAAAAAAAAGGGTCCCCTTTTTTTAACTTAAGACAGTAGTACGAATATGTTTTTTTTCTGTCGTTTTCATACAATGCACGATATTATATGCTATTATCACACGTACACAGCACCATGCTTGTGAACAGCGCTGACCAATCAACATTGCACAAAGTGTGATTTCTTACACGTCCGCAAAAGGTGAAAACTTTGAAATCACAATGAGCACCCAATCAGCTTGACTTTTGTGGGTCTCAACAGTGGACCCCGAAAGTCAGGAATAACACAAACACGCCCAGTTTTTAAAGGATAGTTGTGTGGATGTTTATATCCTGCCTTTAAATGTTCTCTCTGATTAATATCATTTCGTTCAAAGTGTATTTTGTAGCCCAATTGGGCTGTTCCAGGACGCAGTGTCCCTTTAAGTGTATTCACTTTTCAATGTCCTATTTTTGTAGATCACCTTACAATCTACAAAGAATAAAGAAAAGGAAAGTTGTTGTCATCAAACATAAACATAAGGGAACAAATACGATGTGCTTATGGTCTGGTCTTGTCTATGGTATTGTCTATGGTATGTGGCTCACACGCATAGTGCTAAAAATCTCCTTTTATGGAGATTGGCGCGTACTGCGCAATGTGTCGCGGAGCAGGAATAAAGTTTTTAACACCAGCTGTTGTTTTATCAGCGGTTTAAAACCACCCACGTGACGGGCTCTCGACCAATAGGAATGGGTCAACTGTCTTAGGTATGTAATGGTATACCAACATGATGATCAAATAACATACATGTACTGGTACATTGTACATGTACAGTGTATGTACATGCCTAATATCCATAATGACAGTCATGTTTGGACACAGGTGTCTATCAAATGGTACATATTATCATCTTGGAATTTTGAGTGTTGGTAATATACATGTTTGTAATATCATACATGGAGTTTCTTTTAGTAATTGAAATTTTAAAGTCTGGGTAAATACTTGTAAACATTTTCACTAATCGTCAAAAACAACTTTGGTGACGGTAACACTGATGCATTCTTCAGTACCATTTAATTTGGAAAAGTAGTTGCTCACTATAGATTTGATGCTTGATTACTCAAAGTGTTTCAAATATTTAAATATTTTCGTTTTAAAAACATGTGGTTGACATGCATCTAAATACAGTATAACACTCTTCCATAATTGCAGTGTATCATAGCAGAGCAGGCCGAAAGGTATCTGTTATATGAACGTGAACAAAATTCCAAACATTTGTTGATTTAATCATCATGACTGAATTAACCCCATCTTCATGCTTAGTTAATCTTGCAGGGAAATCTGTTCACAGGTCATTAATTTTATTCCCTCATTTCACTGGAAATAGACCAAGAATTTTTTCCCAATTACTTTTGGCAGAATTGTTTGCAGTGCACGTGCAGTTGTAACTTGTGCCCTGTGTTGTTGTCTGTTTGTGCCACTTCCTTTGGGAAATCAGATTCTGGTAACAAGCAAAGCCCATACAGTGCTTGCATAAATCAATTTTATTGCTGGTGTAAATGCTTTCAGCATAGCTGTTTTATTGGTAGAGTGAATTGCAAATCAATTTTCTGCTATCACTTTCAGATGCTGAAAGGTTTGAGAGAAAAAAAGCAAAAGCTGGCCAAATGATGATTTACTCCAGTGCTGCAAATTGATTGTGTTGTGCAAAGAAAATCATGCTGAAACGTGTGTGTAAAAAAAACATTCAATTTAATTTTTTGCATGTACATAAAAAAGTGGAATTTAATTAACTTTCGAGTCACGAAAGAAAGGAAAAAATGCAAATTATACCCTTTCATTTTGTGTCAACAAAGTATTTAATGTACATGTGTTAGACCATAAGTTTGAAAGCTTTAATAATTTTTTTCTTCTGACACTGCGATTGATTGAATTGTTAAGTGGTCATCATTTCATGGACACCAGAGCAGTGGTAAATTGTGACTGGTGGTCATTATGGGTTGCCGCTTCATGGTGTCCCACTGCTTAACTGCCTACTGTATATAGTGGCCCACCTGTGGATTGATCTATTTTCGTTGTACAGGTACATGTTCTTCTTTAGGTCATTTACAAGCTTTAACAATTATGGGATGATTGTGTATCACACATGGACTTTTGAGACTATCCAGGTACTCCATATGGTCTTATTCATCACATACATGGACATGTACTGGCATACATGTACATATTAAGCTTGTCTTTTGCAGTTATAATATTTCTAGAGTTGTGTCAATGTCCAACCCATCAGGGGTCAAATGGTAGATTAAACTAATTCAGCTTGAGTGGGCCTTTGGATTGGGATTGTGCTGCTGATGGACTGGTTAATTGTGTCACACTTACCAGTTCACATCCATCTTCAATTTATGTTCAGTTGTGACCAAAAGTAAATTAAGTACAGGCAGCAGGGTGACCGTTTTAGCAGATTTCTGCTATTATATCTGACAGATTTTTTGGGAAAACAAAAAAACTAAATCTAGCAGAATGAAAATTTTAGCAGTTTTCTAGCAGAGTTCTGTAAAATAGGTGATCATAACAGAAAAATATAGCAGATTTGTTTTCCAACAAGCTTGAATTATTACAACAAACAAACGTAGGCTGTTTTTCCTCAAACCAGCTGGTTTTCTCTTGTCATTTCCAGGCCATTTCTTGTCATGTCTGCTTCTAATCATTTAGTATCATTTATTTGACCTCAACAAACAAAATACAAACAAAATACAAACAAACAAAATACAAACAAAACAAAAATCCCAAAATATTCCACAGAAAGTACCCCATGTAGCTGAGAAATATAATAAAAAAAGAATGTATTAAACTGTACATACCAGTACGATCTTTAATCAAGGAAAGCTTTTGGATATTTGTTAGGTTACTTTTGGGGGTAAATGCAAATGACTATATGTATGCCTTAAAGCTTCAAGAATGATTCTTGAATTATTGTATAGCTAGCCAGAGAGGAAGCCAGGGTACGCATGGGAAAGCAGCATAATAATGACGGGCCGTCACTGTATAGGCACTGTAGCCTTCTGGTGTCTTCCAACTACATGTACTATACGCTGGTGCTGTAAATTGAAACCCAGATTGTCACGGTAATATTGTATCTTTTAGTCATTATAAATCGCCCAGGCAAACCAAGGCACTGTAGTAATAAACGGCATCCCAGTGTAAAGGAATATGTAATAAGCCATAAATCGGGGGTTGTGACGGAACCCATCCCAGTGTGCTAGATTGATAAAGCACTCACAGACACTTTACCTGTAAGACTCGGAGTGGAGTGTGTTGGTGACACTCAACACGGAGACAGGGACAGACACAGAGATTTACTTGCTGAAGTCCGCTGGATATTTGCACTTGTAGGAATACTTGATGGCTGCATTTTTGGTGGTGACTAAAGCATCTGTCATTTGGAATGAGTTTTATATCAAGACAGTGACGATTCCCAAGGGTGAGTTGACGTGTGAAATGAAACAAATTGTGTTGCATTTCTTGGGTAGTCTTCATGGTTTCTGTATTGGTAAGGTTTTACAGAGGCTGGCTCAGTTCTTGAATTGCTTTTAAGTTGGAGTAAAAGGTTTTGGGGGATTTTAAACTTTTTTTTTTCAATGTGACAAATGTTTATGAAATTGTTGTGGACATATACATGTAAGATGTTCTTGATATGATAACTTTTTGGAGTAGGTGAATTTCTGCAGAGCCCCTATGGAAGGAATGAGGTCGCTGACTAAAACCTTAATAGCACTGTCTGAGATAAACCATGTAATTTCTTTGTATTGAACAAGTGGAAGGAAAAAGGTAATAAACTGAAGTTTATTACCACCTTAATTAATGCTGTTTAACGTTGAACAAGCAGCAAAAAACGAAATCATCTCAAGATCAAGATACAACTAAAGGTCAAAACCTTATCTTGCTGCGCCAAGCATCTGAAGAATAAAGTGTGCTTTCTAGCTTTCATGTGTTATTGGATTGCACTCTGTAATTAATATTACAATTTGTTGTACATGTACATGTACATTTGTAGACTTTCCAAAGTCAAAATTGTGTTGATTTTTATTACCATGATCAACAACTGTAATTTGCTTCATTTGCTGTTTTAGCACTGTCATCCATAATTGTGAACAAGCATTTTGGTAGGTTTATTTATACCATATTATTCATGTTATTTCTAATTAAATTGAAGCATTTATCATTAAGGCCATGTGGATGTTGGCAGGTGTACACTTTGAATGAAATTTCAACTTGTTCAACTTCAAATGTCATTTGCCAGTAGGCTTCTATTTTTTTGTAATTAAATATCAGATTTGTTTGATACCGGTACGTGCATGTACATGTATTTTGAAAGGGAGTTTGTAAATGTTTTCTAGCAAGTACCAGTAGTGCATGCTTATTCTGTTTAAAATTACTTTTCTGGCATTCTGTTGAATATCTGATGATTGAACAGCTTTGTATACATGTATGTGTGAATAAGTCTCAATGACTGGATCAAGTTTGTAAATTGTAAGCCTCAAAATTGTACGTTCAGGGCCTATTTCATTGTGAATTTTCTATGAATGCAAGCAATGTCATTATGTGCCTGTTGATTTAGTAGAATTCCATTGTTCCTTATATTTCATGGATGGCACCACACAGGACTACTGGAAATAGCAGTTGCGTTGGCAAATTTAGCCTGGTTAAATACTTCTATGGCTAGACAGCTTCCAGAATTAAAGGCCTTCACTTCATTAGATGCGTTTTACATCCATAGGGATTTCAATCATCACAGATGTGTAATGTTGTATAATTACCCATGTTGATTAAAACCCTTATTACATTGTACAACCCAAAAATAAGTTCTGCATTTTCAATGTAGTAAGTTCACTTAATTTTCACACAGTTTCTAAAGGTTTCTGATGAATTTCAAATTTCAATGCATTACATTTCAGTAAATGCAATTCTTTTTCTCCATCTCTCTTGTTCATAGGTCAGAAGAAGAAAGTAACATGTCGAGGCTGTCGCAAACCATGCTCTGGTGAAGTGCTGCGAGTACAAAATGAGTATTTTCACCTCAAGTGTTTCCGTTGTTGTTGTGAGTATTTGCATAATTTAGCCTTCCTAAGGGGCTCTACTAAATGATCCTGGGCATACCTTGCCACTGGGCACATAGGGATCAGCAGTGTGGTGTTGCCAGGGGTTGTTGAGCATTTAAACCTCCCACATCTGTAATCCTCTCCAGTTAGTCTCATTTGTTGTTTCTGACAGGGAACCTTGGTTAGCCCTCTTGTGTTTGCTTGAATTGTGGATTTGGATTCACTGCACTGTAACTGTTTTCAATATACCGGTAGATGTACAGTGCACACTGTAAAAAAAACAAAACCCAAAACCCAAACAAATCACCGTTTGTGTGAAACTTTTCTTGATTTCTCTCCTAGTGGTTTATTTTAAAGTGCGCAGTGGACAACAATGTCACCAATCAAAAGAGTATCTTCGCTACAAATAAATGAATTTACTAAATTCATAATTTATTAAAAGATTCCTCTTCAAAATTAGGGAGAGAGCATTTTGAAAGTGAGTACATTACATTGTATGTACTTACGTGTAAAGTCAGCCAGTAGTAAATGGTCACACTACAATACATGTAGTTTGTGAATGAACAATTTTTAAGTTTTACTGGTTTATTATTATGTTTTTTTCGCCGCCAGAAGCGGAATTGTACAGAACATTTACACGTACACTGCTTTAAAACATTAACAATATAAACTTTACAAGGGCAGCAAAAGACTTAATTTCTTAAATATTAGGTAGTAAAAAAAAATATATTGTACAATGAAATCAGTCAAAAATGAATGTGTGACCATCATTCAGTTCTTCAGCTTTACAATCAATCGATGGATCAAATTAGTGTGTATTCCTGTCCATTCAGGATCAGTAGTATGGTCGGATGTTAGAAGTCTGTTCCAAGGTTTAGTGAATGCCAAACATCAATGTTTGATTTAAAATTGTCCAACAAAATTACATATATACATGTGTACACAGATTACTCCTAGTATAACACAAAAAGGTTAAGATGATATCAGGGTCTCCTTTAAAGCATAGAGCTAGGACGCACTGCAATTTTCAGGTAGTCTGTTTCCTACTTGAGAGCAAGGGTTAGGCGGTTGGAAATGCGATGAATAGGATCAATTAATTAGCTAACATTAAGTATCTTTATTATGATGACCTTCATATATATATACGTATAATGGAAGCTCTTGAGTGTGTCTCTGTGGGGCCAGTCCTATATCTAATAATTTGGCAAGCATTCTGGATTATTATGAGAATATACATTGCTTAACCCAGGGGACTCAGTTACAGATCTGTATTCTTGTTTTGATTGGCCTTTTTTGTTTTACTAAGAAACACTGTTGTCGTAAATTATTCATGTGTGAATAAATGCAATATTAATTGTATTACATGTTTAACAACAGTATTTAATCACTGTGCTTGTTCCTGGAACGTCCCCCTTTATCCCCCCCCCCCCCCTTGAATCTCGGTTGTGCTAAATCTTGTTTGTGCAATTGAAATGTACTATGCATACATTTAACACTGCAAAAAAAATAGCATTTTTGTGAGAAAGGTACATGGAGATGTTACAAAGTTGTGTCTAATCAGTGCGAAACAGCCAAGAAGCCCATGATTGCTCCAAAGCGTTTACAATAATTGTTAAATATGACCATACATCATGAGGTAAATCAAATTATGTTTAGTACATCTATTATTTTAGTTCTGAATGGCATTGAGCTACAGTGTGCTATATGCATAACCAAGAATCCCTCAAGAGGAGACAATGGAGACTACAGGTATACCGGTACATGTAACGATTCATCGTGTTCAATTTTTGTATGCTGCAATGCCAAGATCAATGTTCCATGTGTCAACATGAGATGCACACACACAAACATCATGTGAAAGTCTTTGTATTTGTTAGTTAATCGCTTGAACAATTCAGGAAAATGATCAAAACCCATCTGTTCCACCAATAATCAATTCTTTTATCAGCTGCACCTGTGTTTATCAATTAATTTACTTTAATTATTTACTTTACTTGTTGATTATTTGTAATCGCTGTGATTAAGATAACTAATAAAAGTGTTCTTAAATGCCGATTATTATTGTTATTATCATTATAAAGATTGAAACCGTTAATCAGTGACCATCTCACTGTGGGAACATTTGAACCTGGATAAGTACATGTAGAAGTGGAAGGTGATCAAAGTGCCACTCTGTCACTCACTGCATTGGCTTTGTAATGTTTGTCAGAAAGTAAGTCTGGTTTAATCCAAATTAATATTTCACAATTGTTACATACATGTGAGGCTTGATCATACAACTAATAATATATCTTTAAAGCCTCACCTGTTGGTTTAACATAAATTGGTTATAGGTTGATTGTTGTGTGTGAATCACCGTGGGGTTGGGGAGCCCCTTTTAAATTCTGTTTAGATCCCTCACCTGCTGTGGTGCTGCTCCTTTCAGAATCTACCTTTTTGGTTTGTTTACAGCAAACATTGTTTTCAATGATCTTGGCATATACAGGGTGAGTCAAAACAAATGTCCCTAGAAAAAGTTAACAATTTCTTTTACTCCTGAGATTTTGGAGTCTGACTTCGGAAAGGGGTTGCCCTTGGGTACAGGCAAGTTGGGATTGGTTTTGAGGTCAAAAGGTCAAAAGTCAAGGTCACAGTGGTGAGTTAAAGGTTAATGGTTTCCGGATGGTAACTGCATGGGTTTCAACATCAAAAACGCTGTTATTTTCTCTTCAGCCAACATTTGGTCTGGGTATTGACCACAGTCAGTAAAAGTTTCACTGATATTCAGCCATGCATGAAAAGAATAGGCCTACAGGCCTTTCTTTGTGACTGCCCCAAAACACTACCAACACAATGTTCAGAATAGGCCTTTTGCTATCAACACAATGGCAACAACGGGCCTCAGGATGATGATGGAAATAAATAGAACTACAGAATAGGACATCAATTAAATGGAATTACCTTTACTGAACTTGAAACTGAATTACGGATAAGGTTCACATTTTCACTCTCCTGCTGATCGACCTTCCATCTGTCTGTCGTTAAGATCAATGCATAGTTGTGCCCATATGTCCTCATGTCTGCAATAGCTCTGCGGACCATCCGTGTTCTTCTGAGGGCTTGGATTTCAACAGTAATTTGTTGGAGAAGTTCCTGCAGGGTGTTGGGCACAATGTGGTACACCCGCTCCTTGCAGTACCGTACCGCTTGTTTGCGCCATTAAATAATGTTAAATACCCCCTTAAAATATTAGGAAACATAATTGTGTTGGTAGTGTTTTGGGGTAGTCTTAAAGAAAGGCCTGTATCCTTTGCATGCATGGATGAATATCAGTGAAACTTGTACTGAATGTGGTCAATACCCAGACCAAATGTTGGCTGAAGAAAAAACTAGTAACCTTTCCCGTTTTTGTTAGCCTTGAATACACCGCTGTGTGTGATCAGCATACAGGCATCGATGGCCATACCAGGCTCACAAGTCCACACACACGACGAACTCCTATCCGTCATATCGAACTACGAACCCTGGCCCACATTGCATGCACACAGTACATGTACAGTACTACCCGTGGTCCTACAGGACCATAGCCTTGATTCAATTGTTATAATAACTAGAATGAGCTGCTTACGATCAGACAGATCTGATTGGCGTTTGATTGGACGCGCCATGCTGTTTAAAAACATGTCTTGGTTCGCGCTGATGTTGGGTGACCAAACCAACAATCATTGATCTGTAGCGTAATTGGCCGATGAGGAGTACATGTATGTATTCATGCTGGATAATTTCCGTATCCTCTCACCCCCCCCCCATTTGCCTGAGATTTGTGATGCAAAGTAAAGAAAAACATACAACCTAGAAGTGACAGAATAATCAAGGCTTTGCTCCTACGGAGTACGGGCTGGACTCTCACGTACGGGCGGTGCGTGTGGGCGTACAATATTACGACAGTGTGTACGTACGTATGCACTGCAGGCTTTGTGCATGTGACGGATCGGGTACCGCGGTATTGCAGAGTGGGTAATACCATTCCTGGCCAGCGAAAATCTCACGTTGCTGAATACAGCGGAGCCTTGCATTCAAGGCCACGTTTTTGTGGGATACAAAAACTTATCCAAAAGGACATTTTTTTTTAAACTCGTGCTGTACATGTACATGTACTTGTAGCATTATACATGTACCCATCTAGAATGATACATACATGTAGCTTTCCTTTGTGAGTTTTGCTGGAGAAACTCACAACCAGTGTCGTCAGCCAGTTAAAGTGTCTGTGTAAATTCATAGCTATTTCAGCTGGCCTCGCAGCCAATGTGGCTATAGAGCAGGGCTATACTTAGTAGTCTCATCAGTTTTTAGTATTGGAGCATTCAGGATATGATACAAATTTCTGCTGCCTTTAATGTTGAGCAGATGTGAAATGGTTTATGGTTTGAGAATATCAGTTCCATGCAATAGGGACTGCTGAATGCCAGCACTGATTTATAGTGTACCTGCAGTGACAGATGTCCGTACTTCATATTGTGGCCATTTGAATGTGTTGTCTGTCATCCCACAAATTATCAACGTGAAAAACTCAGTCAAATTAAATGAAATTATTAGAGTGAAGATTGAATTTCCTTCTTGCAGTATTTAGTATTTGCCAATGTTTCAAATAAGAAAGATCAAAGTGTACCTATTTACACTTTCATAGTGCTCAAAAGAGATATTTTATAAGCAGGTGATTTTCTAACCGACAAGGATTACTACCTCTAATGTGCATTTAATTTAATTGCAGCATCCTCTTGTCCAATAATTGGTTATCCATTTACAGTGCAACTACGTAGTTCTTGATCTGACAATAAGAATGCCAGCTAGATCCCCAACATTGATATCACCATTCAGATTACTTTAAAATCTTATTACGGCAAATTGAATAACTTGTAAGGTACATGTATACATGTACATGTGCATGGGTAGAGCATATGGCTAGTCATGTGTGAAGCACATGATGAAATATTCAGATTTCAGGTAATTAGCTCTCTGT